TTCAGCAACAACAGAAAACGGTTCCAAACTTGGAGCTGGCAGCACGTCTGGCCGTTCCCACCATCTTGATGTGGCTGGAAGCCCACTTTACAGACGGGCTTAGCTGGACACAGGTTTTGTTTATTCTCCTCCATGCTGTGGAGCAGCGCCCACGCTGCCTCCCCAGGGTCCTCCAGCAGGTAAACCTGCGTGGGCGTGAACTGGGTTGGCGTCCGGGGAAATGGGTTGGGTACCGCTGGAGGTGACGACAAGACATAGAAGTCCCATTTCCCACCTCGTACAGTCTAGCGGGAAGGCAAAGTTTAAAAGTTCATGGCTAGCACCGGTGAGAGAAGTGGGGGTGAGGTGTAGCCTGAATCTCAGTCTTGGAGCCTTTTATGCTCCTGGGCTTCTGAGTGTGGAGGTCAAAAGAAATATTTTAATTTAAAAGCATGTAAGAAGAAACTGATGAGGCTATGTGTACTTATATTATTGGCACATAGATATATAAATGTATGTGGGGCCCTCTTAAATACATCATACACCTTAGGATCCAGGTACCAATGTATAGATCTATAGAATTATCTTTCCTTCCTTTCAGTAATTTTTTTTTATTGGGGGAGGAATAATAAGAGCTTGCAAAAACAAGGCCCATCCCTTCCAGAAATAATTGTGTGCTGCCTGCCCCCACCCATCCATGGTAATGTAGACCACAAGCAGCATAAGTTTTGAACAAAAACCAATTTTGATGCCAACAGGATTCTGCTTCCAGTGCAGCTTACTGGTGTGTCCAGAAATTGCACATCTGCTGTTCATCGGAATATTCAAAGAGGGATAAAACACCCATGAGCTGACCCCTGCCGCTCACCCTCTCCTTCCACCTCCCATCCAACTAGCTTCAATAAAATCCAGACCTTTCTACTCCAAACTGATTGTTGGACTTTCCTACCAGTGGGCTGGAAGGCTGAGTTTGGCTAGGTTTGGGAGCAAGGATCCCTTAACTGGATTAATGTACACCAACTGAAGACTCCGGATTCTGCCCATCTTAGCATCCTGTCAAGAGCAGTACAGATCCTCTCCATGATGTAGGAGCTGATTCAGCCACATCTAGTGGGCGACATACTACCTCTCCCCCAACCACACACACACACTGCCCCATACCTGTCTCTCAAAGGCCCTGTACAATGATTTTGCTGGCTTAAGGTCTGGTCTTTAGAAGAACGGTGAGGATAACTAAGGTACACCTGGCCAGTAGACAGAATGAATTTCTCCAAAAGCAGAAATCAGTGTTAGTGTCAACCCCAGAGAAGGTACTGTTCTGACAGCAGCAGGCAGGACCTAGGTAGGCACAAAAGCCTAGACCCTGGGCTCACCTGTCTTTCAGGCCTGGACTTAAGGAAGAGAGGGG